GCCGTACAGATAAGGCCGAAATTTTGTAATGGCCCAGATAATCGCTAGGCATTCTTTCTCAGTTACCGAAGAATTTGCTTCTGTTCTTGTAAGAGTGCGGCTCGCGTACGCAACAACATATTCTTGGTAACCAGGCTTTCGTTGGGCGAGTACAGCATCAAGACCGACACCACTAGCATCTGTGTGGATTCCTGTGGGAGCGATTGAATCGAAATGACGCAGTATGGGTGGTGTTATAAGCAGTTCACGGAGCTTCGCAAAGGCACTGTCGCAAGCTGGAGACCACGCAGATAGATTGCGGTCTCCCTGAAGTAGGTCTGTCAGAGGCGCCATGATCCAGGCGAAATCCCGGACGAAGCGGCGGAAGTATGAGCAAAGCCCAATGAAACTACGCAGCTGCTTGAGAGACGCGGGCCTCGGGAACTCGCGAACAGCACGTAGCTTTGCGGGGTCAGGAAGAACGCCATCCTTCGACACGACGTGTCCGAGAATGGTCAGCTTGCGCGCTCCAAAGTGACACTTCTTCAAGTTGAGTTGGAGGCCTGCTGCAGAGAGGCAGCGTAGAACCTGTTCCAAGCGACGAAAGTGCGTGGGAAAATCGGGCGAGAATACCACTACATCGTCTAAGTAGCACAAACACGTGTTTCATTTGAGGCCTCGTAGGATAGTGTCCATCATGCGCTCAAATGTTGCCGGCGCATTGCATAGCCCGAATGGCATCACGTTAAATCCGTATAAGCCGTCTGGTGTAACAAAGGCAGTTTTTGGCCTATCATCCGGATTCATGGGCACTTGCCAGTACCCAGAGCGTAGATCAAGGGAAGAAAAGAACTCTGCGCCTTGTAAAGAGTCGAGGGCGTCATCGATTCGAGGCAAAGGATAAACATCCTTTCGTGTTATTTTGTTTAGGCGACGATAATCTACGCAAAAGCGTATCTTGCCATCCTTCTTTTTAACTAAAACAACCGGCGACGCCCAAGGACTGTTTGACAGTTGAACGATGCCTCGCTTTAGCATGTCGCCTACTTGTTCATCGATGATACGGCGTTCAGTCGGCGAACCACGGTATGGTCGCTGCCGTAGTGGTGGGTGATTACCTGTGTCGATCTGGTGGCATACGGTAGATGTTCGACCTAAAGTAGCGCTGTGACTGTCAAAAGATGGTCGAAACTTGTCAAGGAGGCTCAAAAGCTCACACCTCTGTTGTGGGTTTAGGCCTTCGTCGATGACATGGTTGAAAATGTCGGTAGTGGAAGGGTCATTCACGGAACTACAGGAGAGGGCGCTGACTTCCGATGATTCATCAGGAACGTCAAGTGTAGCGATGGTTTCGAATGATTCTATCGAACCAATACATTCGCCTCGAAGTAGCGTAATAGTGAATGGGAACGGATTCTCCGCAGGCACGTTGGTCGCACCACCTTGAAGAGTAATGAGAGCGGTTGGGAGCGGTGATAGGTGGCGATGAACGAAAGCAGCGGAAGGCGTGAAGAATGCGGTAGCGTCAACGACGGTGGAACACGACACAGGTGCGAAGACAGTAGCGCGTGGAGGGATTTGGGTGTCGTCACTAATGACCAACTTCGCGTCGGAAGGGCGATCGTGCACTGGTAGCGCATCACCAAGGGGACAAAAGGCGACTTCGGCACGGGCGCAATCAATGACGGCTTGGTGATGAGAGAGAAAATCTCAACCTAAAATGATGTCATGAGAACAGTGCGGGAGTACTACGAACTGCACTGTGTAGGGCACTCCTTGAATTACAAGTCTGGCAGTACACGCGGCCACAGGCTGCACAGGCTGTGCAGTGGCAGTATGAAGACATGAACCCAAGTCAGGCGTTGTCACTTTTCGAATTGAACGGCAAACTTTTTCGGCGATGACGGAAATTGCGGCACCAGTATCAATAAGGGCAAGTACGGGTACACCTTCAAGAACGGCATTAATTACATTCGGCGGCAAACGAAGAGGGCTTGTGCTTTGCGACGAGGACTCGGGAACTGCGTCATTTAGTTTTCCGCGTCGATTGTAGCATCGACGCGGAAAACTAAATGGCGTCGGCACATCACCGACGCCACGGAAAACTAAAGGGCGTCGGCGCATCGGGCAGGGCGAGCGTCGACGTGGAGAAGGAGATCGGCGATCAGGAGCTGGTCGGTGCTTGGACGAGGAGCGTACAATTCGGGGTCTGGGGTGTATTGAGTGTACGTGTAATCGTTCTCATATGGACGTAGGTTTTCACGTGAGTGGAGTGGGCTGCGGCGGCACAGACGTGCGACGTGCCCAGGTAGACCACACCGAAAAGCAGATCGGTCGGTTGTCGGCAGTGCGCCATGGATTAGGGACTCGGCGAACTGGAGGTCGTGGCGGCTGGGCGGCATAAACAGGAGCAGGCAGTGGAGGCGGCGCTTGGAACGTCTGTGGTCGTGGTCGTGCTGCTGCTTCGGCGTACATCAATGGTGCATTGACTGGTAGCACCAGCTGCGGAGGAAGGACCTCAGACACTTGATCTCGTATAATAGTCCGTAGAGTAGGGCTAAGCGGGGCACTGCGCTCCGGTAGGCCAGAGATGAGCGAGAGTTGGCGGGCAACTTCTTCGCGCACGAAATCTTTGATCTGCGAGAGGAGGACGGGGTCTTGCGAGGGAGTTAAGCCGGACATCGATTCCTGATGTGGGACAGCACGGCGGGTGACGAGACGTTGCCGGCGGAGCTCATCATAGCTTTGGCAGAGCTCGGTAACTTGGGCGACAGTAGCAGGGCTTTTTGAAATGAGCATCTGGAAAGCGTCCTCATCAATACCCTTAAAAATATGCTTGATGCGGTCCACCTCTGTCATGTTCACATCGACTCGTTTGCACAAGTCAATGACGTCTTCTATGTAAATTGTAAAGTTCTCACCAAACAGTTGAGATCTCGACTGAAGGCGCTGCTCCGCACGAAGTTTGCGGATAGAAGGACGACCAAAGACTTCGCTGAACTTTGCCTTGAATGCTGTCCAGGTGGGAACGTCGGTCTCATGGTTTCGAAGCCATAAGTGGGCAATGCCACAGAGGTAAATGCTGACAGTGGCCAGTCTCGTGACTTCATCCCATTTGTTCAAGACACTCACGAGTTCGTAAGTAGCCAGCCAGTCGTCGACGTCGTGATCGTCAGTGCCGCTGAATATGGGAGGATCCCGCTGACGGACCGCGCCGGAGCACACGATTGCCTGGGAAGCCATAGGAGGAGGGCTTGTGGCAGATGCAGTGGTCATGACAGCAGGTAGAGTCCAGCTTCGCAACTCCAGGATTGCAAGGAGACCCAGCATCTCCACCAATTATAATAAAGAACGGAGACAGTCAAAACTGTTATCCGAGCCCAGGTAGGAGCGTTGGCCTAGCTAGCGAAATCGGCGACAGTCCGAGCCGAGCGTCTCGTGCTTAGCACTGACAATGTGTTTGCCGAGATTTGCATGACCCACTACATTCATCATTACAAGTGGAAAGCTATACGGTTTATTCATTCATAGTATTAGCAGACTGACTCCCCAACCACCTTACTGAGTCAACACGGTATTCAGACATTGCAACTTCGGCGGAAGGCACAGAGATTGAAGTGTCTTTTTTACCTGAAGCATAGAAAACTAGCGTTAAAACCAGATAATTACGTATCGTCCCTTTCAACCCGACTAACTAGGCACCGTCATGCTGAATGCATAACTCTGTATAGCACAAAAACTAATGCTTTTGAATTTTCAATTTTTCATGCACAATAAGTAAGTGCAGTGCAATTCCATTGAAATGGCCTCATAGCGCTGAGCTCATAGAGCAAATGGTTAAATAGGACATAAGAGTATCCTCTTTTTTATTTCTTTTTTTGTTTCATGATTTTTGGTGTACTTAAATGTGCATAGGTAATCAGTCTTTTTTTGTTCTGTGGTATACTGAGAACAGTAGTATTTTTTGTGGGCACTTACTTTATTGCTTATAGGCACAGAGCACACTGTCGTAGTTCTGCCTATCAGCCGTATTACTTCTTGTTTTTCTCCTATATTTTTTGTTTTTGTTACTGTTACAGTGGTTGGCATTTAAGTGCATGTATATATCTATGCATGTTTATTTTCTCGTTGTTTCAATGGATGACGTTTATTAATATTACCGATGTATCTATCCACTCTCGCCTGGGCCCTGAATGGGCCTGCAGCATTTTGTAAATAAATAAATAAATTAAACAAAGATGTTTATTGTTTTTTATGTACATTGCAGACAAGCGACTGTTTCGGCCGCGGGTCCGGCCTTCATCATTCTGATGAAGGCCATACCCGCGGCTGAAACCTCAATAAGATCTTTTCGTACATGCGTCATCTTCACTGCAGATATATATATATGTTGAAGGTCTTCCGGGATTCTGTAGTATTCTAGGTGCTCAACTGAAGTGAACAAGTGAACGAAAAACGATGTTATATTGCCTACGTTGCGGCTGGGGACCGGCCTTCGTCAGGGCATACACTTGACGCATTGAGTGGCTCAAAGAGCATCACGCTATGCATGCCAGCAGACAGGCAACCTTTCCATGCACTGCAGGGAGTGTGGGTGCAGCTCAATGTTTGAAAAAACTACAATTCTGACCAAATAAAAAAATACAAGCAAAAATTTGGGAAGCCTTTCACATATCAGACCAAACAAGCGCATGCGTCAGTTCCAGCTTCATTGCACTAACCCCCATGGAGAAGCCAGAGATAGCAAGTTAATCAGCATACTTGGATAAGAATTTTGAATCAGCCCCACATCTGGTAATTGTAGTCCGCCCACGTGTAGCACCTGAAGACAGTGGAGCATGTTTCGCACACCTCACCCTCTCGGTAAACCGATTTTTCTCTTTCCTGGAAGCCTTCTTTCTTACAAGTTCCTTCAATAAACTTCATTCAGTTGGTGTCAGAACCCCTCTAAACGTAGTTTGGGAATGAGCTACCACGTAGTGGTGTCGTTTGCTAGTCAAGTTTAGTGAATTGTGATGCAGGTTTATGCTGAAAAGGCCGGTCGATCTGCACGGACGGGCTGTCCTTGTCCAAGGCCAAGCGGTGGGCACGGCGTGGCTGACGGTGCGGCCCGCCCATGCAGCCTATGCAGATGTTCCACCCCAACGGCTACAGCTGCGTGTAGTGGATCGTGTGCAAATGGAACCCTCCGTCGTCTTTCTGCTCACTGGTTGCCAAGCGTGCTTCCATCTTCAGCCAGAATGTGACGTGAACTGTAAGTATGCATTGCTCAGCCACTTTTTGTGAACTTGTCTAACCTATAAAATCACTAGCACTAAAGAGTGAAGGAAAGAAGGGTAAGCTTAAGGATTATTTTTTTTTGTCAGAAACAATATTAATGAGAACCATGAGGCAATTATGCCAAGGGAAGTATAGGGGATATATATTTGAAGTAATTGTTGTGTAAATGTGCAGAAAGAAAAGTAGACGAAAAAATGACTTGCCGTGGGCAGGGTTGAACCTGCGACCTTTGAATAACGCGCCGGATGCTCTACCAAGCTATCTCCCCATCCACTTTATGGAGTATGTATTCCATGTTTAATGCACATACATACCCCATAAAGTGGGTGGGGGTATAGTCGCCGTCGCTCGGTTGATAGAGCATCAGACGCATTATTCAAAGATCGCAGGTTCGGTCCTTGCCCACGGCAAGTTATCGTTTTGTACTTTTATTTCTTCGTATTAACATTACAATTACATTTAATATATATCAGCTATATATTCCTTGGCATAATTGTCAGTTTTCATTAGCACTAAAGAGTGTAATTACAAAAAAAAAATCAAGCCAGCTCCACTTTGCGAATATTGTCGAAACTGTGAAGCTTATGCCCGTCCTTCATCATAGCTATATGATACTTCTATGTTTTGGCATTCTTTAGTTAGCTGCCATATGGCTTCAGTCTCATTTGTGCGAACATCGTGGTTAGCTTTGCGACAACATGCCCATTCTTCATCAACTTCTTCATGGTCAGAATGAGAAATGTGCCATTATGAAAGCGCAAACTCCTCAACACCGATTCTGACACGCTATTTTACACTGCACTATGGTTCATCATCGCAACATGCTTGCGCATTTCTTGAATGTTTGTCGCTTGCATTCTCTGGCCACCTCTCTCGCAGCATAACACTGCCCTGTCTTTGTTACAATGCTTGCTCCTTGCTGTCTCTTGCTGCAATGCTTCTTTTCTCTCTCTCTCTCTTATTTTTTTGTTTCTATCAAAGGGGGATCCGACGCCCACGATACGCTATGCCATATGCTGCATGCCTGTTGGAGATTCAGCGTTCTCGGTCTGGCGACGCAGCTCAAAAACTGCCTCGTCGCGTTAGCCTATAGCAGGTGCGTGTAAGGAAGCAGCATGTCTCGCCAATAATAACAAAACGTACCTGTCGTTTTATCTTCACAGTAAGATGAAAGAAATCGATCGCGTACTTCACCATTCATTTGTTGCTGTCAGCACAGTGAGCGTGTGGCAAGAGCAAGTTCGGATCGAAGCAGACGGTCGCTTCTGCATGGGCGCTGCAATGTTGATTTGTAAACACAGATGCCGACGGTAACTGACAAAAAGAATTTTATGCATACAAACTGAATGTGAAGAATAAACATATCGCATATCGATGTGACGTAACACACACCAAACATACGCCGATTTTAGTCAACCCGGTCAATTTTAAGCCACATATTATTTCTGAGGCTATGTTTTGCGGCGCAAGGGTGTGGCTTTCTTACACTTCATAGCTTTGGTAGTGCTTGTTAGTGCTTGGTAACACAAAGCCGCTTTGTCTTTGCTTGCAACCACATAGCAGCAACACTGTCTCGTTCCGGTATGACACTGAACGATCGTCTCTGATGAGTGCCTATGCTCTCACATACCTTAACTATTAAGAATGGCAGACATTAACATAATAAGCAGTAAGCTGTAGCAGGAGCACGGGAATGTTGTGCTGCTTACTGCTGGTAGTGAGTAGATACAACATGTAGGTTAATTTCCTGCACACTCTCTTTTACTATTAGTATGGCTAATTTCCCTTTTTTAGTCTGTGTGTCTAGCGTTGCACGATAACGAATTTCTAGACGTATTGCTTGTCACGGGGAGCGCTTGCAAAGGATGGAATTGAGAGAAACAGGAGACGTGCATGGCAAACAAGTACACTTTATCTCCAAAAGAAACAAGCAAAATGCAAACAAACGAAAACGAAACCAAATACTCACGGAAGCACACAAAATTATGCCAATAATATCACAAGCAAGACCGACAGTAAACCAGTCTAAATTCTTTACTAGACCTAGCCGTTACTACTCAGCCAATATGACATCTCAACAATCGAACGCTCTTGCAGTTCGTGTCAATTCCTCCCTTTTGCTGTGTCGACAGTTTGTCAAGTGCATCGCTGACGTCCTTTTCAACCTCCTACAGTCACCGTCGGTCAGTCCTGCCGAACCAGCCGCTTATACTTATCGCCAGTGCCCCGATCTTCGTCGATGTCTTCAGCCTCGCTAGGCTAGGCTTAGCTTGTCGTGGAGTCCCTTGCTGACGGTTGCACTCTGCCGGCTAGTGTCTCTCACGCCTACATCCTTCAGAACTGTTATGCCTTGGAGTCCAAATTGAACATCACTGCTCCTGCAAATGCAACCAGTGTCGAAACCAGCGAGTGAGCCAGGCTGGTGCATTCCCCGGCAGCGGCGTCTTACGCAACCCGTGAGAAGCTCCTTCCACCTACGGATTCGATTGTAGCCCGATGATGCGGTCAACGCCATCTAGCCCAGCGCGTCTTACAAAACGCGTGGCAATGCCTCTCGCCCATGGGTGCAATCCACTGGTGGTCCTGATTGAAGGCTGCTGAAGCAAGGAACAGCAGCTGTCCTAATAGGAGGCTGCTAATGCAACGGCGATCAATCTGGAGGCTGCTGATGTAAATATCTCTCGAGCCTATTAAAGAAACAAGGGGCACGACAATAAGCAGCAGACAATAGCGTCAGAGCAGACTAGAGCGTCCGAAGACATCCTGGCTCTTCGAGCTCCCGGAGCTGTCGGCCCTAGTGCCAAATGTGTAACGCCTCTGTTTACCCTGTACATAAATGTTGCCTTAACTCGCCTTCGCCTTGTCTGCTCTGTCTATCAGCTCTGTGCAGAAGCAGCCGCGAGCTGAAACACTCGTTACTCAACAGGGGTGACAGCCACACGATTCCCAATAGTGGGGACAGCGGTGCACTACGCAACAGTTGATGGCAGCTACAGAATCAGCTCGCGTCAGCTCCCCTCAGTTGACCAGACTGCTCTAGCACAGGTTAAAGTAGTTTAGAGAAGGGCTGTGTGAAGCACTGGAGAAAGCTTTAATTGTTTCAAGCCTAGTTGGAGCACTTTGAAAACAAAGTTAGTGCGGAGGGTGTAAGCAGGGTAGTGTTGAAAATTTCTTGCAAGTCTTGCTAGTAGGCTTATAGTGGGTACGGCAAGTAGATTCTAAACAAGGGCAACCAGCAAGAGGATAGTGTGAATGATGGAGAACCTTAAAGTGAAGGAACTTATCGAAAGTGAGGAGAAACTTGGCCTTACTATTGGCCGTGCGAAACGAAAGCAAGCGATCCTTGAGATCATGAGGGAGGAGGGAGTTAAGGCTGAGGAAGTAAATGAGGTCAGGGCGAATATCAAAGCTTGCCGCAAGGAGGTTGAAAAGCCAGAACTTCGCGAATGCAAAGAAGCAAAACGGTGAGAACTTCTAGAGGAGGCAGAAAAGTGAGAACGCCGTGAAGAGGCCGAAAGACAAGAGTGTCTCGGATTTGAAAAGAATAGAATTGGAAATCTTACAGCGTTCGCAGGTGCCTAGCGTAGCTTCTGCGATGGTTCTGGTCAGCGGTCATAAAATTTGGGACCAACTGCCACCGTTTGTAGTAGGCAAGGACATGGCTAAGTATCTTGTCAAGTTTCAACACGTCTGTGAGCTAAATGCTTCGGAACGATCTCTTTGGGTGCAGAACCTTTTGGCTCTACTTCTAGGCAAAGTATCCGACGTTATAACGTACTGGTTGAAGGAAGCGTTTAAGAGCTATGACAAGGTTAAGGAAGTTTTCTTGAGACGTTACAAGTTGTCACTCGAGGCTTACCGGCAAAGGTTCCGGTATGCAAAAAAAGGGCAATGAGTCACAGGTTGACTTCGCATTTCGTCTTGAAGCAGATTTAATTGAATGGCTCAAGGGCGAAGATGGTTATGACGATTGCAATAAGGTGGTAGAATGCATTGCATCGGAACAATTCTACCGCTGCACTGAAGATGACGTCAAGCTTTGGCTGCAGGGCAAACTTGGCAAAGTACAGCTAAACAAAGCAGCAGAGTTAGCTGAGGAGTATGTATCATACTAGCTGAAAGTTGCATAGTAGGGAAGTGTGCGTTTAAAAGGGTGAAAGAGGGCTTTTCGAAGAACGCTGATGAAAGGAAACCCAGTCCGCAACGTAATATCAAAGAGGACCCGTCTCTTACGAAGAACACTGTAGGGGAAGGGTAAACGAAAGTGCAGAAATCGAGTGAGGCTCCTAAACAGAGCACTGATACCACACGGGCATTTGAGTGACGGAAGTCGCTATTGCGCTATAACTGCAAAAAAAGGGCACATCGCGGTAAATAGTAAACAAAAGTTTGCTTTCACAACAATTGAAAAGTCTGAAAAAGAACATACGGTTGTTAAAGCCGTATCTCCAGGAAATTAGTGTCAATGGGACGTGTGGGGCACTTCGAGACTGAGCGGCAATCATGGATGTTGCCCATCGTTCATATGTGTCTCTGGACGACATTACAGGAAAATGGGCGTGGATCAGGCAAGTCGCCAAGGAACAGAGTGCTCGCTTACCAATCGCTACAGTTGTCATTTAAGGCTCTTTCGGTAACTTTCGCATCGAAGCGGCTGTGTTTGTCAAGCTACCCGATAGTTTCCTTTATTTATTTCTTTCGAATAACTCCGAGCAGCTTCTCAAAGAGGAGGGTAACTCATTCTTTTCCAACTTAGCATACATGACCCTCATGCGTTCGCTAGCGCAGAAGCTTTCGCAGGAACTTGATCTCGTTCAATGTAGTAAAACACCACCTGCAAAAGTGGCTGATCTGCGTGACCTTGGCAGCAAGTTGACGTAGCCTCAGACAGAAAATTCTCCAAGCGAGTCACTCAAGCCGCCTTTAACTGAAGCGAGTGGCGTCATCTCTGTTGGCGGAGGAGAAGAAGTAGCG